ACTTATTCCTTGCATTTCACCCGTGGATTTGTGGTTGTTCCTGCGCCCTGCCTGTGCCGGCTCACGTAGCAAGAGACTTTGATGTTCAGGCATTTGAATCCCACTTGCAATGTCAGGAAATCATGTATGCCATTATTAATTTGCAAACTGAATTGAAATGTGCAGATGAATCCATAACCTGGAACTAAAACTAGTTTCACTCTATGACAAAGCTCTCTCTAAAGAAATCAGAATTAAACATGACTTAAACTACACTTGAAGGGGGAGGGGGATAGCACCAGGCTTGCCCATGACAAGCTGTGGGATGACACACCAAGGTTAGAGGGACAGGGTGCCAGCAAGGGCCCTCAGCCTACTGCTCTGAGATGTGCTGGGTACACTGGAGCACGCTGGAAGTCTTATGGACATAAGCCCGGGGCTCCTGAGGTAATGGGAGCCAACAGGGTAACAACAGTGAAATACCTCAAAGGAATTAAGATGTGTTGCTCCAAGAAGGTGATATGGCCAACAGACCAGCTGAAATGCCTCTACACCAACTCATGCAGCACAGGCAACAAACAGGAGTGGGAAGCCACAATGCTGCTAGAAAGCTACGACCCAGTTGCCATTGCTAAAACTTGGTGGGACGAATGCCATGACTGGAGTGTGACCATTGATGGCTACAAGCTGTTGAGAAGGGGTGGGTGAGGAAGGAGGGGCAGAGGAGTTGCCCTCTCCCTCAAGAAATGCAGAGGTGGTGAAGAGCTGTCTCAAGCACAGCCACAGGCAGGTTGAAAGCTTATGGCTAAGAACTAGAGACCGAGGGAACAAAGGGAACCTTGTGGTTGGTGTTTACTACAATCACAGGCAGCCTGCTGACAAAGCTTTCTTACTTCAGCTACAGGAGGCATCGTGCTTGCAGGCTCCTGTCCTGCTGGGCGACTTCAACCGCTCCGACATCTGCTGGAAAAGCAGCAGAGAGCTGTGGGCAATCCAGGAGCCTCCCGGAGTGCATTGAGGATAACTTCTGAAGTCAGGTAATAGAGAGCCCTGCACATGGGTTAGGGCAACCCCTAGTAGAGGTTGAGGGATGAAGGGATTGAAAGCAGCTCTGCAGAGAAGGACTTGAGGATACCAGTGGATGAAAAGCTGGATGGGATTCAGCAATGTGCCCTCGCAGACCACAAAGCCAACTGTATCATGGGCTGCATAAAAAGAAGTATGGCCAGCAGGTCAAGGGAGGTGATCCTGCCCCTCTACTCTGCTTTGGCGAGACCCCACCTGGAGTACTGCATCCAGCTCTTAAGTCCTCAGCACAGGAAAGACATGGACCTATTGGAGTGGGTTCAGAGGAGGGCCACAAAATATCAGTCTTGGAACACCTCTCCTGGGAAGCCAGGCTGAGAGTCAGGGTTGTTCAGCCTGGAGAAGAGAAGGCTCTGGGAAGACCTTATTGCAGCCTTTGAATACTTACGGGGGCTTATAAGAAAGATGCGGACAGACCAGGTAGGGCCTGTAGAGACAGGACAAGAGGTAATGGATTTAAACTAAAAAGGGATAGATTTAGACTAGATATAAGGAAGAAATCTTTTACAATAAGGGTGCTGAAACACTGGCACAGGTTACCCAGAGCTCAGACCATTATATTTGTATGGGTTAAATTAGACAAAGGCATCAATAAAGAGAAGTAGTGGGCACATGCATAAGCATAAAAGAATTTTAAGATTCAGAGTCAATTTGACTTTTGTAAAGGTTTTGTAAAGGGAAGGTAAGGGGGGTAAGAACCCTGCACAGTAGGGCTCTGTGAGGGCCTTACCTTCGCCCAAAGAGGCCATGGCAGATCTGGTTACCACAAAACACTTCTAGATTCTGTAGCACCCATGCAACTCAGAGGGGTCCTGGGAGACATCTGAGTGATGTAAAAGTCTGTCTGGAACTTACCCTTCTTCACACATCAGCATCTCAGGAGCACTCAAAATGCAACTGTATTTAAGAAATTACTAGTAAATAAAATACAGAACAAGACAGTGAACAGTTATGGTACAACCACATCTTTAAGTTCCAATTCCGCAGCCTTCCTCCCAAAGAAGAAACACTAAAATGGGAAAAATGACAGAGAGGGTAAAATGTTGACAGCACTGAGCAGCTTCTTTAGAAACAGCAACTAAGACATTTCCACTTGAAAAAGGAAATCTTAGGAGGTATGAAGGAGAATGCAAAAATTAGTGGATAAACGAACAAATGGAGCTGGGCTGGCACACTCAAAAACATGTTTTTCTTTATACAAGATGTAGGTAAGTTCAGAATCCCCTTGCTAAGTCTAAGAACACTACAAACAGATGATCTCACAATACTGGCCACCCTGTGAAACAAAACCCCATGAAGGCTTGCTACACAGAATCCAGCTGGACCTCAGGAAGTCCATTAGCTGAAGGGAATTGCTGAAGACTGAAAGAGTATTGCAGAGAAGCCTTGTTACACATGCTCCATTCTTATACTCTTCTCTAGAGGTCTAGGAGTGGCTTCCAGCAGAGACAGATTACCAGGCTAGGTAGACCTTTGGTCAAATCTAATACAAATTGCCCAGGAAAATACACTGGGATGCTTTGTGCTGACCTACTAGGCAACATGATGTCCAGTTATCCCAAGGATTTAAAAAAAAAAAAAAAACAAACCAGAAAATGTTAGAATATCAGTAATATAAGTAAAAAAAAAACCAAAACACACCAACAAACTAAATTGACCAAAATACATGCCAGGGCATCCAAACCCCAAGAGCTGAATTTGAACTCACAAAGAATACTGGGGTAGTATCACTTGTCAGTACCTGAACAAGATGCAGAAAGACATAAACGTAAGTGCTTGCTCTGTATTCCAGTACACTGACAGACAAAACATGTTCTGTCCCAGATCACAGGCCCTGTCCCAGATCCCTTTGTACCAACCAAGGGTCTTGCTGCCAGACACACCGCTGCTTCCCAGTTCCACTGGAGCTGTGCAAGCAGACAGCCTCAGAACAAACTAAGAGCAGGGTAAGGCTCAGGCTCCTATGGACACAAACTACATCTGATGTCACCACACCCTGTGGCCTCCCTGGAGCATCCTCAGTGCCTTCAGGGCTTTCCATGTTCACAAACCCAGGCTTTCGGAGAAAAAAGAAAGAGAAGTCAGCTCTTGAAGCAGTAGGTTGGCTATAATTTGGATCCTATAGCTAGAAAAGCCCTGCAAGCCTGTGACTCTGCAATTAAAATTCAATTCATTCTAATGTTGAAGAAACATTTCCCAGATATCCTTTCAAGCTAATGTTTTCTCCACTCTGCCTACTCCAATTATCCTTCTTCTTCTGCCTCTCATATAGGAGACCAGAGGAGAAATGTCCCAAGACAGTCTATTATCTCCTGTCCCAGCAACCTAACCTAGTCCAAGAGATGAAGTGGCAATTCCCAGGATCCCTCCTGGCAGAATGTGCTGGCATCCTTAAGCCTCTCCTCTGTCATGAGCTCGAGAGACTGAGGTAATCGTAGTGAACATAAAATTACTCATTAACCTACTCTTCCACTATACACAGCTCTCAAAGCACTGAAGCAAGCTTGGCCTGTGAGAAGCACCATCTGATTGTCAGCATGGGCAGGGAGGACACTGTGCAAACAGACGTTTAAAAGCTGCACTTGCAAGAATCATGTTTAAAATCTGGCCGTGTCACAGATGTAACTTTCCACATGACCCAAGCTAGGCGCCCCGAGAACACTCCAAGTACAGGTGTCTCAAGGGACTGGAAGCAATCTGGTAGAAGAAACTTTCAAGTCAGGAAGAATTCAATTCTACTCCTGTGAACTGTAAGAACAAGAGAGAAAACCAGGCTTATTTTCCTCATATTTAGTCTATCTCAGAAAACAGAAAAAAATATTTGAAATTAGTCTGGTAGAATTAACCAGCCATTGAAGTGACTGGTAAGGGGTAACTCCATTGTCCAAATAAAGAACAAGGGAGGTGACCCAAGGGAAAAATACTAGCTCCATCACTTTAAGTACACAACATTCTACAACAAGGTATTTGTAAAATCTCTTAGTGCTATCGAAAGCCTAAAGAAACGGAATCAATTGGCACTGATTCTTATTAGCTGGCAAGTGAAGATACTTCTGACTAGGATACCTTAATCAAAATACAGAAATAATCATCTTGCAGAACAGGAGACGTGAACCAAACACCCAGTTACCGCTGCTGCTCTCTTTTGGAGCTTGCTTTAAAAGTCAAGCAAGTGAAGTATTTGCTATCACTGAGACAAAAGAGACAACCTTGATGGCCATGTAACACTGACTGCCACACAAAATATATCTGAAATAAATGCCAGGACTGCTGGCTTTTAAGAGGATGATCAGTCCCAACAGGAACATGACAGTAGGGCTGGGTGCTAATCATCTCCCTTAACTTTAGGGGTTTATGTCTGATCTAGTTACCATAGTGGGGTTTTTACGGTTAACAAAGGCCTAGGTAACAGTCTGTAAATTTTAGCACACAGATCATCTAACCACACGCAGGTGTATCTTCTGGTATGAACTGTACACCAAGTTCAATGGGCTTTACTGTGACTTACTCAACTAGAGATGCTTACACTACAGCTATTTCATACTTGGACAGTTATTTTAGGGCAAAGTCCACAAAACTGATAATGTTTAAAAATTCGTTTCCTTGGATGGGTCAATTTTAATCTAGCTCAGTTTCTCAGACCACTTTACCAAGCAGCTGCATATGTGCATGCTCACATAAGGAAAGGTACAGTAGGACAGAAGCAGACAAAACGGATCATTTCAGCCTCTAGATGTCCGAATACCTATGTAGATTATCTGCTCTGACTAGATGTACCAACAAGCTGAGGATTTCCCTCTGACAAGCCTGCACCTTCTGACTGATCCGCAATGCTTCCAAAAGACATTAAGAAGGATCAATAACATCATTCCCACTGCAAATATTGACCATTCTAATTTAAAAAAAAAATAAATTAAAAGGAGTACTTTCCTTACCTTTTATTGAATTCCTCAAGTTCTGCTCTCAGTTTTCCAATTTCAATCTGTAATCTAGCCCTCTCCTTGGCAGTTTCATCCAGAACTCTTCGAGCATCAGCCAGTTCAGACTCATAGAGATTCTTGATTCCACTCACCTAAGGGGAAGAAAGTATTCAGATATGAGAACATCCCAAAGACTACCAAAGAACTGAAACAAAGCATGATTTCTGTTGTTTAAGAACAATCTATATCAAACACTTTAATACACACCTGCAATTAGATGCGATCTAGAGCCAAAGACAAGATTTAATTTTTATTCCTAGTGGGACATAATGCATACTGTGTTTGAAGTATGTGAGTCTACCAAAGACAAGCTTAAGATCAGTACACACTACAACCAGATCTTAAATTATTTGCTTTTATTTCCAATACTGCTGCTTTGGGAGATTTTTTTAAAACACTTAAAAACTTACTTTGTGGCATACAAGTATGAGGCACAATTTGACACTTCTGCTCTCGCACTATAAAGCTAAAAAGAATCTGAAAGTAGATGAACTACAGAAATGTGAACTATTCAGAGATGAGCTTCCACTCCTGTCCCTAACCTCAGAGGATAAGGATCTATAGACATCTCCCTGTCCCAACTCAAAATATTACATAATCAGCTATTCAGACCGCAGCAAGGCACCTCAAAGTCTTCCACACCTTTATTCTTTTTAGAATGCAAGATTTGAAAGGCATATCAGACAGATAAAGCGTCAAGGCCATATAAGATTACTGCTATTGCTTCTATGAAAGGATACCAGAACTTTTACTAATGTGAATTCAGAAACAGCAATCAGGGAGTGAGAAAAGCCAAAAGCAAAATGTACCAACTTTAGGAAGAAAAATTTCATAACAAAACATAAAATATAGAAACAAGAAAGCAAACTGTGCTATTCCTAGGAGCGCCTATTTCAACATCAGAGTGACACCAATGACAGACTCAACCATCTGGTCTTCAAAAAGACTGATTAAAAGCAGTCAGGATATAATTAAGTTCCTGATAGACTATATTCTCATAAAAGTTCTGAAATTAACTAAAATATGACAGTATGAGGGCTGAGAAGCCTTAGTTTACAGGCATACCACATACCAGAAACAACTTGGCTGTCTATCCATGCAATCTTCTTTAAAGAATTAATTCTTTCAAGCTTTATACAACTTAAAGGGCTTTTTTTGGGTTTTTTTTTCTCCATAGCTGATAACCAGAGGCTGTCTGTAGCACAAGCCAACACAACTCTTTATTATCACTTACAAAATTTAGGAAGTTCTACAAAGAAGTATGCCGTGACTATGCTAAACTCTTTCATACAGCACTCCACAATGCCAAGAAAATAAAACCCTGGAGATGCTAATGCTGTACAACCTTTCATTATTAGGTTAATGGTTAGACTAGATGATCTTCAAGGTCTTTTCCAACCTAGATGATTCTGTGATTCTGGAGGATCCTTGAGTGAAAAATACAGTATTTGCAAACTGCAATGCAAAATACAATTGCCCAAAGGCAGGCACTGATTCCGCCACCATCAGGTACTGCATCTACAACACTTTAGCGTAAGCCCTTCTTTAGGCCATCTACCTATCAACTCTTAAATTTGCTAAAATCCTTGCCCTAGGACATCCTACCAGGAACTTGGGGCTCTATTGCTGTCGGTTCAGAGACACACACGAAATCACAGTGCAGGACACAAGGACAAAGCCCTTCCCAGGACTCCAGGGCATAAACTGGAATTGCATGCCAAGGCACAAAGGAAGAAAGCCTTTTTCCCTTAAGTTTTTGTAAATATCGACACAAAAAGATGTTGCTGGTGTGATACTTACAACAGTCAGTAAATAATTTATGCTTTTGAAGCATTACAGACAACACGGAACTTAACACCACTAAAACAACAATATTCTAAACAGAAAATACTTAATGCAACTCCTGCCTAGAGACAATACAGCCAGATAGAGCTAACAATAGCATGATGAAAGGTGTTTCAGAACCTGTTGGTGAAGAGAACCAGAGACTGCTGTTTAATTAAAAGGACTGATTCATTCACAGCAGAACCAGTTGTGGTAGCTGAGTATGTATTTTTCTCCTGCAGCATGTTAGCCTCCTCTCTGCTCTTACTCCAGTAACAATCATCAGAAGGAAACACACAGGTCCAGTTCACAGTCCAAAGTGTTAGTCAAAAAGCTACTTTCAACAGGATTTTAAGCTAATGCACTGAGCAGACAAATAAACGAGACATAAGGACACATTGCAGCTTCCAGCACAGGGAGGCAGCAGACAGCTGGGAGCAGTAACACTTTCAATCACCGCAAAAAAACCCCAGCCCAAACAAAACCCCCTTGCCAGACCTCGAACAACAGGATACAAAGAGAATATGGACTCACAATAAGACTGATAAGAGTTTTAGACGATCAAACTGAATTGAAGGACAGTTCAAGATGGTCTTTCTAGATCATAAAAAAAATAACCCTGATTATTTTCAGCACTGGTCAAGCAGAGAACCAAAGGCAAAGGAAAGTAAGTAGTGCCAGCTCAGCTGAACTAGCCTGGGATTATGTGCTTTGACAACGCTTCTAGCCCAAGACAGTTATTGATTAAAAGCACCCTTCTACCCCAGCACCGAGAGGAATTCTGGAAATTGTTTCTGTTCCCTGAAACTCTGATCTAGTGCAAGGAACTTAATATAGAAACTACTGACTCTCTGAAAATCTCCAGAGAAGCACGGTCCAAAAAGTGCCTCTGTTTAGTGTACACATAGGATTTTGCTTTGTTTAACTCTGCACCTTCTGCTCTTTATTAACCTTTATTAACACCTTTACATTTACTACTTAGTTTGGTCTCTAGTACAGCGACACTTCCAGCCATTCATAAAAGATGCTGTTAATCCACAGCAGGACCTCCTAGAATAAACCTCACATGCCCCTCCTGGACAAAAAAAAAAAAAACCAAAAACAAAACACCTGGGAAAAACACCCAGTAACCACAGCAACAAGAGAAGGAAGTTGAATATCTGACAACTGTGAAGCCCATATCTGGTTTCTTTGTCTCATCACACTTCTAAGCAGAGCGCCACTAGACAGTGTCTACCTGTCCTTAAACACACCCAAATACAAGACAGAACCTGTCTGATAACATCTTCCATTTTTTGTCATCTTCTGTAAGTAGAACCTATCAATTCAAATTCCTTCCTTCATTTGTTGTTTCTCATCACTTTGCTTGGGTTACCACAAGCCCACTGTCTCCTGCTCCCCACAACTGAGAAAGATTGCGTCCTTGAAGCCTATGCCAATTGTTTCACTGTAAGCCAGAAAGAGCAGCAGCTGTAGAAAACACCAAAAAGTATAGGGAACAAGTCAAAAATACAATGATTTTTCACTCACATATACTCCCATCTTCTAAAAATTAAAAAAACAAAAAAGCCAAATTTGCTTCCAGGCACCAAAAACCAGTAGTTACCAAATACTATGTCATCTACCTGGACCTGTGCAAAGCTTTTGACACTGTCCCACAAGACATCCTTGTGTCTAAATTGGAGACACACGGTCTGATGGATGGACCACTGGGTGGGCAAGAATTGGCTCAATGATTGCACTCAGAGAGTTGTGGTCAACATGAAAACCGACCATGAGCCATCAACGTGCCCTCACAGCCCAGAAAGCCAACTGTGTGCTGGGCTGCACCCAGAGCAGGGTGGGCAGCAGGGCAAGGGGGGGGGATTCTCCACCTCTGCCCCACTCTCGTCAGAACCCCCTGCAGGGCTGGGTCCAGCGCTGGGGCACCAACAGCATTAGAAGGACACGGACCTGCTCGAGCGGGGCCAGAGGAGAATACGAAGATGCTCAGGGGCTGGAGCCCCCCCCATGAGGACAGGCTGGGAGAGTTGGGGGGTTCAGCTGGAGGAGAGAAGGCTCCGGGGAGACCTTAAAGCGGCCCCCTGGGACTGAAAGGGGCTGCAGGAAAGCGGGGAGGGACTCTGTATCAAGGGGGTAGGGATAGGACAAGGGGTAATGGTTTTAAACTGAAAGAGGGGAGTTTGGATTAGATATCAGGAAGAAACTCTTCCTTGTGAGGGGGGTGAGGCCCTGGCACAGGCTGCCCAGAGAAGCTGTGGCTGTCCCCTCCCTGGCAGGTTTCAAGGCCAGGTTGGACAGGGCTTTGGACAACCTGGGCTGGGGGAAGGTGGCCCTGCCCGGGGCAGGGGGGTGGCACTGGATGGGCTTTAAGGTCCCTTCCAACCCAAACCATCCTGTGATTCTATAACTTAATTTGTCTAATCCTCTTGTAAATCTCTTCAGCCTTTGGTTTCCACAACAGAGTGCATCATACAAGCACAACTGGTGGATTAAGACCTACTGCTTGATAATTTCATTTCATGCCTTTAGTTTTTGTGTTGTGAGAAATGCTGAATATTTTCTTCCTGGACAATCTCTTTGTTTGGACACATGACTTAAGAGACCTCAGGTTTCTTCTCATCTCTTTTGCAGATTTGCTCCTGGTTAGAAATCATTCTGCTGCTCTGCTTATCTTTCCTTTCCTTACACACTTTTTCCAGGCTCTAGATGTTTTTAAATGGGGCAAGCAGAATTCAGAAACAACATTGATTTACACAGTGATTACTGACCAACAGCTACAAAGGAAAACAGGGATGTTAGGGGATATGAGAGGAAAAATAAATTGAGTAATTCTATAGGGTTTCAATTAGCCCGAACTGTAATCCAAGATGTGATACCTGAGCTGTTATTTTCATGCACTAGTAGCAAGTGCCATGGAGTGGCTAATTCAGGAAGCCACAAGAGAGAATGCAATTCTTCACCTGGTTCTCAGCACCACATAGGAGCAGATTCACCAAGATATGTCAAAAACTTCAGTTGACCTGGTTTCAGCCAAAAAAAAAAAAAAATCCACAACTGTTGCAATTGTTTCAGCATGGCAACTAGGGAACACAGAGGTTTTGTTAAAACAAGGAAAAAAGCAGTGAAAAATAAAATATTTCTAGAAAGAAAAGACCACATATACCAAATATTTTAAGATGACCAAAACAAGGAGTGTATGAGACATAGTAAAACTTTTTTTAAAAAGCTAAGGTCATGTAGAGACAAGAAAATAAAACTGATCATGACTTCTGT